CAATTTCAGTCTCATCGCGGAGATGATGAAAGCAGCATAATGTAACCCCGCCTTTACTAGCGCCGCTTTTATACGCCGCAGTCATTTCTCCGTGCAAGATGCACCTCATTTTAGCTGACGTCAAAAAAGCTTTTTTTATACAAATCAGAATGGCAGTGAACTATTTCTTTTAATTCTAGATTTGTCATGTAACAGAGAATTGCAAATAAGCTGAAGGCTCACCTGATACGTTACCACTTTCGCCTATAGACGTGAACATTAAAATATACTGCAATGCCGTGTGGTCATGGCATAGGCCACCCCTTCCTTTCCGGGGGGAAAACATTGTTAATAATGGGGAGTTTAGTCCCCAATGCTATCAATATACCCTATCAGGTCGACCTCCACGCGAGTTCCCCCTGGAAACTATCGTGACCAATTTATCATTGAATTCGTCACAATGGGCTAACTGACTTGCCTTTTCATCCTCACCTATCACCGCTCACTGGTACCCCGCTAGTGTATACCGATAGCGCAGATGGGGTGACCATGCAATTTTCACGCATAAAACAACCCCTTCCTTTCCCGTGGGTACCGTAAAGGAACTTAATGGTCCAAGGATGAGTAGCAGTGTCATTCTACCACCAAAGTCTATCTGCAGTTGCCTGCTAGCCAAGCATGGCAACTACTGGCAAACCCTCCTTTATCTCAATCAGTAAACATATCCCGATCACCCGGACAAAGACACAGGTAAAAGTACATAACGAATAAAACAGACGAACGACGTAATTTTTCATAAATATGAGATTTAAATTTAGCAGCTGCTTTAAAACTGTATTCATTCATATCGCAAATGTATGTTATTCTCGAAGTGTCATTTCAGAAGACTGCATTCAGGAATTTAAAATATGAGTAATATTTCAAGGGATCTTTTTTACACCACTGAGGTGACAAACAAGCATACGACCCACCTGATGTTAAGCGCTTACCGAAACCTATGAACACCTGCAATACCAGAGGTATTAGGCGCGCGTTACCGACCCTGAAGAAACCTATTTTTTTTTAATAGATGAAAATGGAATGGTAACCCCACCCGCGCTATCAGTATTCACCGACGAGGCACCAGTGGACGATGATAGGTGAGAATGAATACAGGTCAGTTAGCCCACCATGATGAATTCGACAAGCATTAACCATGATGATTTCCAGGGGGAAACACGTGGAGGTCGACCTGATAGGGTCCATTGCTAGCAATAGGGCTATTAGACCTCATTACTAACAATCCCTTTCCCCCCGAAGAAACGTGTTTACCCCCTTTTGAACCCCATGCTGTAGTCTCTTGTGAAAACCTCGGCAGGGAGCTCATTCCATAACTTGAGTGTTCGTGGGAGAAAACATTTCTGAAACCGTATTGTATACTGCCATTTAGGATCTGTTAACATAATTATTAAAATAAAACCTATCTTATTGCTAAAATGTAAATAAAAAAAACAAGTTTTTCAAATATGCAAAATTGAAGGAGAAGCCACAACAAAAAGATAGTAAATTTATGAAAATTACGAAGTTATCAGTAAACTAATTAATATATTACAAAACATTTGTCGTTATAAAAATATGTATTGAAGTTAACTAATATTATTTTATTAATTTCTAATTTATATTTGCTGTGTGTGCCCTGGCATAGAATGGGCTACCCCTTTTTTCTCGTGGGTGTCATAAGAACCGACTAAGGGAGGGCGAGGGATGGGCAGCAGCGTCCCTCTTAAAAGATCTCTAAAAACCTAACTGAGTTTGCCAACCCGCCTTCCAAACGTAGCAACAACTGACCAAACTCCTCTTACGAGGACGGTTTATGTCCAACAGTGGACAGTTGAAATAATAATAATGAAAAAATCCGACTGAAATTCGACATTCAACTAATCTCTCATGTAGCTATATAATTTCATATTTCGAAATCACAGAAACTTTATTTCCATCCTTACCTTCACATTTCTATTAATGCGAAAAGTACTTTCCCCTTAGGTTACACTTACCGCCACCAGAGTTTTGAGCACGTCATTTAAAGTCGAGCTATCTTGCGCGGAATCTGCAAAAAATGCTTCCGTGACCTACTTAGCGAGATTCACCTGGGATGCGTTTATGACGTCAGCCGTGACGTTACATCTGACACAGTGCCCTAATTGAAACCCGCAAGGGTGGAGGGGGCGTGCCCCATTCAGTTTAATCCCTGGATATTTTTAGCTCACTACTTCATTCATTGACGACCGGGAAATGGTAGCTTCAAACAGATTTACGGTTCAATGCTGTTTTAGTCTTGTTTGCATAACAATGACCTTTTTTTTTAATGAGATGAAAATCGAATGGTGACCCCGCCTTTCGCTATCGTACGTTAACGAGTTACCAGTGAATGGTTGGTGACAGACAGGGATGAAACCAGGTCACTTGGGTCATCGTGACAAATTCACCAAGAATTAACCACGATGATTTCGCATTAACAGAATATTTCTAGCCTTATGTCTTGAGTCTTATGATTTAGGCCCTGTTACTAACAATACCTTTTCGCATCTTCACTGGCCTTTCTATGCTAGCTGCAAAGGTTTACCAATTATTGGAATATTTTTATACAAATTGGAACATATGGTGAATGGAGCACTGTGTTAAAGCCTGCCAAAATAGAAATGGCATCGAACATTGTTTTTTGATGGACTCGAGACTTGTAGTTATCTTAAAAGACATGTGGAGCATTTTGCATCTTTTGCATCATATTTTGCAGCTTTTGCATGTTCTTTTCAGCTATACGAGTACAATACACCCCAGATAGTTCCCTGGACTATATGTGCATAAAATATAGCATGTATTTACGTTCGTTTTTAGCCAATTTAGAATTGAAGGATAATCCTAAATTAATTATTATTTTGTTCGTGAACTGTTCACTAATTTCACAGTTTTTGTAAAGATTCTTTTATGTCTATTTTATCCCAATTAAATAACTATTTGTATGACAAAATCTCAGATTAACAATCGTGAATTCACAACTGTACATAAGTGAAATCATTCGACGACTGTTCGACACAAAGAAACCAGCAAGATTCTTATTTAAAACTAGACGTCTTAAAATCTCATTTACATACCTGTAATGGCGATAATACATCAAAATATTTACATTAACGTACTAAATGTAGCATTGAAAATTATGTGCATGAGCATATTTATCGAAAGCGCAATATACAAACCTACACAAAGAAGGAAAAGTCATTGTTTACCCATTATAAGTTGCATAAAAAAATACTCTGTATACCACGCCACGCAAGCATATTGACAGTCGACTAATATTTTCAACTAGTACTGTTGAAGGCCCAAAATTTTTCTCAAGTCGTAACTACATGTTTTTACGTCCGTATTACGTATTTTTATGTTATCATCAAGAAGTAATTAAAATGTGCGTGTTTTACTGTGTGCATGTGTGTGTGTATTACGTGTTGCATGATTCATTGGTTACTTTTTTTTTTATTTTATTGTCGGTTTCAATTAATATCTACGTATTTATTACTATGAAATTGTACTGAAAAAATCATGATAATCCAGTCACCTTTCGAGAAAATCGAGAAAATTTCTAGTCTGATAACATACGAAATGTTGTTGTTTTGTTATATAAAAAGTCCTTGTCTTGTCTGAACTTAGAACACTAGACAGGGTAAAATAGAAACATCCTTGCATTTTGCCCCGCAAAGGTGTTACTTCCATCGTGACAATACATACCCACCCATCAACGAGTACAGGTCTTAGAAACACGTCACATTGAAAAGATTTGAATTTAGAACCTGTAATTGTATGTCTATAGATATAGATTTTGATCCACAATAGTAAAATATCAGTCTGGTAATACCCAGAATAAAATTAAGCTTTACCCCAATAAAGTCCAACTTAACTATAGACGATATAAAAATAAGTCGAAATAAAAAGGATGTATAATAAATAACAAAATGTACGTAATATTAACTAACACGTAATGACTTCGGATACCTATTATTGTTTCAAGCGACACGGTAATTTCAACGTTTCGTTTAAATATGAATAATTAATTTTATCAGTAAGATAATTTTAATATAAGAAGTAAACATGAATATTTATTTGCGACAATATTAAGATTATTTAGGTCGACTCTATAAATATTTTGGCTTTTTATTACACAACTATTGTTATAAAAATACTTTTAAAATGTGTTTTTTAACATTATCGTACAGCAAAGACAAAATTTATCCATTTTTATTTGGTGCCTTCCGAGGTTAGTTTACTCCCAATTCCTCCTACATTCTTGACGGCACATCGTTTGTTTTTTTTTTTTTTTTTTTAAATAACATAAAGTGCGCGCAATACGCCATAAAGTTATCATGAATATATCCTTATGTGCTAGAGACAATAAAATGTTATCTCAAATCATTATCCTTATGAAAACAAAATAATAATTACGAGCAAAACAAAACATTGTTATGTTTATGAAGTTGTTACTTCATCTCACATTTATTCAGACACTTCTTAAACTTTAGATCTTAAATCACCGAATTACACAACTGATGTGTGATTACTATTAGATTTATTAGAAGGCCAATAGATTTACCATTTATAATCTGTTTATAAACATGTCCGTTAAAAGAGAAGCCACTAGGGTGATGTCAATTTATTGCTGTGATCTCACACATAGTCGTTTAAATACTTAAAATGCGAACGGTACAATTTAAAAAGTAAAAACATTGCTCGTTTTTCATTAAATTATCTCTATAATTGCCCGTCCAAAAATAATAGAAATAGACTTCCATTGATATTGTACAATAACTTATCAGGTAAGTTAAGTTAGTTTGCCAAAGCGTTGGTTGACTACATTGCTTGGACTAATATAAGTACATAATTCTTATAAGTATTTTACATGCTAAATTAAACACTAAGTTTGCTTTAATAAAGTGCATATTCTTGTAATACGACAACAACTATTTGAGTTTGATCTTGGTCTCTTCATCATCATTAGTCCCGACTCTACCTTTGCGAAGAGCGGACGTATCGCGCATTGTGTGACCAGGTTCAGTTAACTTTTCCGTGTCAATAAACTTTAAAGCTCGTGTGTGAGTGAGACGCTGATATTCTGTTAATTCTAAAGGAAGTGTAGTGCATTTTCCATCCTGGATATCACGTTTGGTACGAAGAGCTTTACATTTATAATTCCTATATTTTCTTAAAACCAGTTCTTCGTCCATTGAAGGCCTAGTTTTTGTATCGAAGAAAAAATATTTGAGATATAAGAATTCATCAGCCAAGCGTGACGATCATGTTTTTGCATGGTATATTATTGTTGCTCGGTCATTATTTTCCGTTTTATTTTAGTCTCCGCCGAATTATATTTCTTTGTTTCCATCGATACGAAATTTTTGTGAATGAAAAGCTAAGTATATATTACTGGTAGGCACGTGTAATAAATTATTCGAAGGTGTAATTCATCACTCAGGTACGGTTAGTTCGTCAGTTACATCCGACGTACTGTTAGCATTTTGATCATGCAGACACGCGACATGAATTATAATGTAATACATTATTTTTTAAAAAATTGGAATACCTATAATATAATACAAGATATTAATGTTATTTTATGGATAGATTTTTTATTTTAATTTTATGATTTACACTTGAGTTTAATTCAGAATCGTCCTCGTCATTTTGTCCTACTTAATGTTTATTTAGAAATTATAATACATGAGAATACAATTAGAATTAATTACATTTTTTTTTTGCGACTGGATGATTACACAGTTTAATTATCATTTCTTCTTTTTATATTGTAATTCATTGGCTCTGCTTGTTTCCGAGGATTGCATTGATATCTATGATTCTCTTGAAATCGATTATAAGTTTAAATTTACAGTTAATTAGTAAACTGTATTATTAAACGATTTTCTAATTACATAAACGCTGTGTTTTATCATAATGAATTTAAATTAGTTTAACGAATATGACGTCACCTAACCGGTGTGACAATGCCATTATTTACGTTGGAAACGTTCTTTTTGTCCGAATTAAAATTCATTTTTACTATTAATATTTTAACTGTAAAATTGTATATTTTTATAATTAAACCTTACTAATACTATAAATTGGCCGTGCGGTCCCGGTATAGAATAGGCCTTCCTTTCCTGTGGATGTCGTAAGAGGCGATTAAGAGAAGGCAAAGGATGGACCAGCAGCGTCCCTTTTGAAATATATCTAAAACATAACTGCGGTTGCCAATCCGCCTGCCAAGCATACCAACTGGCTTATATGATGATATGTAGAATACTATAAATGTGAAAGTAAGTTGGTTTGTTTGTTACATTAAAGCTCCTTAACGACTTAACCAGTCATTACGAAATTAGGTATACACATACTATATACGATGCAAAAAGATATAGTTTTTACTTACATGTTTTTATCTTTTTTATCTAGGTTCCTATTAGTTTTTAATTAATTTCACCCGAAGTCTCGGGTATAAGCTGGTATCAAAATAAAAAAAAATATCCCTTCTTTGCACTATGTACCGATTATGTTCAAAATTTTATATCACAAACGACGACATTAATTACAGTTACTGTTACAGGTTATCCACGTATAAAAAAAGAGTTTCTCCATGTGTACTCTCTAACGAAAAATGTATCTTTACATATTTACATACATACATATCTGTCACGCCTGTCTCCCATTAGGGTAGGCAGAAACAATGGAACGCCAAATGCTTCGATTCAAACAAACCTCTTTCGCTTCTTCCACATTCATCAGTCTTGTCATATACGCTCGCCGGTTACGGGTACTTTTAATTTGTCCCTTCTTCAGCACGTCGCCTATTTGGTCGACATACGTCCGTCTAGGGCGGCCCCTACCGACATCTCCATTCATTCTTGCTCGATAAATCTCTTTCGTAATTCTTCTTTCATCCATCCTCTCCAAATGATCTTTACATATAAATACAAAACATTGTTATTGGAATCTTTAGAGTAATACATTGATAATAAGATTAAAATGATAAGCGCGTTATTTTATTTTTAATATACAATTCCTTTATTCTATATAATATCCATATCTGTTACGCCTGTATCCCATTAGGGTAGGCAGAAACAATGGAATGCCAAATGCAAAACGTCAATTCTTTTATTTTAAATTATATATACTTATATTATTCAAAATAAAAGATCTAACATTTTACCCGTCTATTTGGAATTGCATTACTTCAAATTTCGTTTATTTATTTATACTTGATTGTTAGAACAGAATTAATGATTTCTTTGCTATTTTACGTAACTGTAAAGTAAAATTTCATGAAAGATTAATAGAAAAATGTAATCCTATTATTAATTCAGTATTTCACACTGTGTATCTGATGTCCAAAGAATTTATAATAAAATTATTTTAATTTGGTGTTTTATTAATTAATGTTTGTATAATTTTAATTAATTTAAATTAGAGTAATGAATATAAACTATGGGTATATACAAATAAAAATTATTATTGCTATTATTTATTATTATTATTATTGTCTTCTTTTCCTTTAAGTTTCCTCTTGTCGATGCAAGTAATTCATGCATCTTCTTCCAGCCAGCTCTATCTCAGGCCATATCCTTGACCTCCCTATACGACATGACGCCTAGTGTTTCTTTTATCTGTCTCGTGTCCTCGGTCTTCCTCTTCCTCTTTTGCCTTCTATTTTTCCTTCTACTATGCTCTTTAAAAAATCGTCATATCGTATAAAATGGCCCAGCATTTTCCTCTTCTTTTGTCTATTGTTTTTATTAATGTTCGTTTTTCATTAACCCTTTTCAAGACTTCCTCGTTCTTTACCTTTTTTGTCTAGTTATTATTATTGTACACACTAATAATACTAATAATATTTACCAGAGGGAGACTTTGTACAAAAATCGTTTGCTTGGGTACCTTTGTCCCATTCGTGTTTTAACCGTAAAGCAGTTCTGTTTGCATGGCTGTGTTTCGGTTTGAAGGGTAGGATATGGCAGCAAATTTACAGGGCACAGAGGAATAATATAACACTTGATTCCTCAGGAATAGCAACGCATGGGGGTATCATTGGCGAAACAGTATACTCTGTTATGTACATGGTACTGCTCATGTCTATAGGCGACAGGTTACCGCTTTCCATCAGGTGGGCCGTCAGCTTGTTTATAAACAAAAAAAAAATATGACAGAGGTAACCAAATGTATTATACAAAGGCGAGCTTAACTCTAAAAGTGTTCTCTTCCATTACTTTTATTTTTTTTATTTTCAAATTTTATTCATGATTTTTATATTAGTTTTAACTATAAGTCAAGCCGCCAAATGAACGAATTAATGCTGATTCATTGAATGTATTCTCATTGCTCATTGATTTTCATTGCTCAGATAAATGATTCACAATTATACAAAACTTTTATTGTTAAATCTTGTATAACCTGCATCATAGTGCAGTGATGTATGTGCGTCTGTAAATGGAAAGTAACTTTAGTGAGTTTTATTTAAAATCAATGTGATATGTCATTGGCCATGTTATAGATGGTGTGGTAGTTTCTTTAATCGGTTAGCAGCGAAACGAAAGTGTCTTTGTAAATCGTAACCGGTTGCTGAAGGTGGGTAGGTGTGTTTTATCACAAGTACTTTGCGTTTTCTACAAAACTTGCAACAACAATTGATAAAATGTAAAATTAAAGCGTTCCATCTTCTGTTTGTTTTTTTTTATGGGTAAAAATGGTATGGTACCCCCGTCTGCGCTAACGGTATACGATTGCGGAGCACCAGTGAAGGGTGATAGATGAGAATGAAAACAGGCCAGTTAGCCCATCGTAATGAATTCATCAGGAATTAACCATGATAGTTTCCAGGGAGAACCGCGAGGAGATTGACCTGGTTGGTTATATTGCTAGCAATGGGATTCTCAGACACTCAGTCTCCGTTACTAACAGTCCCTTTCCCCCCTTCTGTGTCTGTTATTTCTTTTCGTAATGTCAAAAATTATTCTCTTTTTAACATTACCAGTAACAATATACCGAAATTCATAGTGGTTGGTTAAACCGTTATCTTGCTAAAAAGTAACAAATACTTTCATGTTTAGTATTATTAGGAATGCGTATTTTTTGCAATTTGAGCAAAAGTTTTCTGCTTTCTAAAATGAGTATTTCTGATAAAAAAAAATTTACACTTTTTCTCATCCTAAGAGGCAACTAAAGACAAAAACCTATGTATACAAGGAGAATATTGAGACTTGAAACACTTTATGGTAACACTGAAATGTTGTTACGGTCAAGTAATATATTTTTTTTAACAAGTAACTCTCTTTACATTTATAATATTAGAAGACTTGTCATTTACTATATATATACGCGTATTCTTAATTTCAAATTAAATTATAACGTAATACGTGTACCAAGAGTAGTACTCAAGTCGCCAAGTAACTTGTAGTTTGCTTATGTTTATGTATTTTATTATAAATTTTAATCGGATTTGCTTGATGATTGGTTGTGTCGAGTGTTCTGTGATGATACTTGTACGCAGACCGGTTTACGATTAATGTTTGTACGTATTTTTCGCTGTTTCCAAGTACCACATAGTTATGCGTCATGAGTATATTGTGAATTGTGTTTATGTAAAAAAATAAAATTTTTCAATGAACACTACAGGAAAATCGTATTGTAATTTTTTTTTACAATGAAAACATGTTTTTTTATGTAACTTAGAATGGCAAATAAGCTGACAGCCCACTTGATGGGAAGTAACAGTCGCCTACAGACATGAACCATGGATATAAACATAACAAAGTGATACCGCTCATGCGTTGCCATTCCTGAGGACACAGATGTTATTCCTCTGTACTTTGTAATTTTACTGCCATATCGCACCCTTCAAACCGAAACACAGCCATGCAACAACTGATTCACGACAGAAACACGAATGTGACAGAGGGACCAAAGCAGATGACTTTTGTACAAAGTCTCTCTCTGATATAGTATAAATAGTTTTAAATTTTTATGCTTTATGTATAAGAAAATTCTCGTATTTTAATCAATTTTTGTTTTATGCTGCTCGCTATATTTGTACTGTATCAATTGTAATGAATAATAATATATTTCAAACAATCGTATTGATATTGTTGGAGTATTGTGTTTCACTAAGGGTCCAAAAATATTAT